GCCATTCTGCCATTTCCTGAATGGCCCTACTGATCAAGCACCCACACCACTGCTCTACAATTCATGCCACACACCCACTCCAGCTCCCTGAGCTCATGATCATCCGTCCCCGGTTGCTGTTCCGAGCTGATTAATTACGGAGCCGGTCGTGCCCTCTATCGGACTCGGACAGCTCCAGGTCTAGCGCGACTCCATGCCAGACGCAGGCTGAATCGCAGAAGATTAATAGTGGTAGGACCAATCACGTACCATAACACCGTCACGTTACTTTGATTCACAAGAGTTTCATTTTGCTTTGTCAGTGCACTGGAACGGAACACAACAGGCTGACAGTGTCCACAAAACACCAACTCAGTCACCCTTCCAGGGCCACAGCCTAGTGGTTTCAGACAGTGTTGCAGAGTTCGCACCCTGTAGCGAGTAGCACAGACCAGGCCTCAGCTGCACTGCATGTCCTTTGACCTGACCTTGAAAATCAACACCCTGTTCCAGAGGCGAAATCAACATTCTGCTCAAATCCCAGCCTCCTCATTGCTTTCCATGCTCAATGACTAATTGCTCATTTACTTGGCTTCCATATGCACCCATTCACATAAGTATTTTGCTGGAGCTATGCCTCACCTGGGATTTGAACCCACAACCTTCCCCATACGAGTCCAGGACCCTGACCACCACCACTCTACGTGGCTGCCACTGACGTGTCACAGCCGACATGATGTTGGAAATAAATGAACATTTCCAAAAACAGCTGGCACGTACACTTTAGTAGCTTTATATTTTTTTTGCATCGCTATTCTTAAATCTGGAATGTCAGGTTCAGGCCAATCGTCATATGATAAAAAAATAAAATCCCAGAGCAGGCAATGGGTGAAACACAAGCACATCTCTGAAACAGGGTAGAGGGATTAAGAGCTAGCAGAATGAGGGGTTTGGGCTGATAATTAATAGCGCTGTATAATCCTTCGACAGGCATCTGCTCCCAAGACGGCAGGCCCTTCTCACCAATACTCCCAAATCCCAGTCATAGAAGGTTTATCCCCCAGAGATTCCTGCCTTCATCAGCACACTGAGGATTAATTTCCACTCTCCCGTTGTCTACAAGACGCACAATGACTGGTTACGGTGATGTTTTTGAAGTCCGTAATGAGACCCAGGGCTAATTCCAAGACAGAACTGTACCCCCGGACCAGATGCTCCTCGCTGAGCCCCTCTGGCTACATTTTCTGCTGAACAAGCCAAAAACGGGGGAGCTTAAGAAGTCAGCCAGGCCAGTCCACCAACTGTACTGAGGAAACCTGCCGAGTGACGAAATGTGGATGAAACACCTATGATATTCCTATTGTGCGATGGTGACTAAAACCCACACACTCTAACTTAGGTCGCATCCAAGCACTGGAAAACAAGAAAATAAGCCTCCTTTGAATTTAGTGCAGAACACAGATCAAATTCAATTTGCACGAGCACCGTTTAAAACCAAATCTAACTACAAGCCCATAGCTGTGCGCCAAGCCACACAACAACAGGATGAGCAAGTGGATTTCTTAGAAATGATTATGACAGCCCCAGTGAAAAAGTGTGCTTCTCACTGTGAAAGCTTATTCAGACATTACAGGAATTAAAGTGCCCCTTATCTTCCTGGAAACCTGCTGTTGCACGACTAAGGCCTGTGGAAATGGGTTAAGTGCTCGAGAGACGGGCTGGTGCCTTCCTGGGTCTTCACGTAGACTCATTTCCTTCGCACGCAGCAGCTCGAGTTGGGTTTCCCCGATCTCGGCTCCACGCGGCGCTGGAAACCACCAGCTCAGGGGGGAGCCGCTCGCAACGCGCCATGCCGAGGTCAGCAAAGGAGAGCCCGGGGAGGGCAC